AATATGCCTGACCACGGTGGGATTCGAACCTACGACCTTTGGAATACTAGTCCAATGCTCTACCAACTGAGCTACGCGGTCTGGTCGGTTCGAGTATGTGATATTTCGGAACAGAATCTAGTTCCTTCGATATCAATGTAATCTAGTAATAATGACATTTTCTGTGTTGGTGCAATATTCCAAAGGGCTAGTATTCCAAAGGTCGTAGGTTCGAATCCCACCGTGGTCAGGCATATTTTTCAAGCTTGCCCGGTGTGGATATACACTCAGAGTAACATCACAAGCATCTTATTCACCTGAGTAGATTGCACCAACACAGAAAATGTCATTATTACTAGATTACATTGATATCGAAGGAACTAGACTCAGTTCCGAAATATCGCATACTCGAACCGACCAGACCGCGTAGCTCAGTTGGTAGAGCATTGGGCTAGTATTCCAAAGGTCGTAGGTTCGAATCCCACCGTGGTCAGGTATTTTTTCAAGCTTGCCCGGTGTGGATATACACTCAGAGTAACATCACAAGCATCATCATCATTGCTGGCCTTGAGGAATTTCATCCTGCTTGGATGAGATGGCATTTTGCTTCATCTGTTGAAATCTTCTTTGTCCATTATTAATTAACTTCCTAAGCCTTCTTTTTTTTCATATACGCGGTATATTGTCTACTCATTGCGATGTAATATATGAACAACGAGAGCGAGTGTTTCTCCGGGATATCCAAACACGAGAAAACAATGTTAGAATGTTTGGATATCCCGGTGAGACACGAGCTCGAGTTATTTATATGGCTTCTCAAATGAATCGAGACGTAACAGAATGTTTTCGTTTGCTGATTCTTAACCAAGCATAACGTAATTCTATTCAAGTAACGGAATTCTATTTAAGTAATTTTGCATGCGTAATTAAGATATTTGATGAAAACACTAGTGACTTTCATCAAGTATCCAAAAGGCATCTTGTGATCAAATAGGTGATTATCATTGGCTGAATTGCTCATGAATTATTAATGATTTGAGAAGGTATTTTCTTTCTGTTTTGACAAAAGTGATCGTTTCGTGAGGTTATTCTTTTAACAACGTTTCACTGCATGTGCGACATACAGTAGCAAATGTGTTGGGGTTTTATAAACTCTGTTATTGGGCGAGCTTTTCTTATCCGTAAACTGTCGGCGTTTGCATGTATCAATGCTGGATAACTGGCCGCCATGAAATCGCCATTTTCCTGGTCAAGAAGGAACAACCTCTCCTTGACGCACTGGTTAGGAACATGGCGACCGGTTACACTGACATTATAAAGGCGCCAACAAATTCTATACTATGGGGATACCCACCAAACCCCGGGTATATTGTCGGCGGAGATGTTGTCGGTGGGGATTTTGTCGTCGGGGATTTTGTGGGTGGTGATGTTGTCGTTGGGGTTAGGTAGTACTATAAATGACTTCCGAAACGTTGTTTCTAGGAATGTTCAACCCGTTCGTGGAAATCATGGTGGTTGGACCTCATCTTACGTCAAAACGTCGTCGTTATCAAACGAGATCCAAGAGAAATAACTGGAATCCTTCGTTCAACGAAACATTTTACTAGTAAGTAGATTACCGGACATGTGACCGACCGGTAAGTCCAATCTCAAAAAATTGTTTATTTAACACGTTTTTTTATCAGTGAAACCAACGAGAAAGCATTATAGAAGTTCCCCACTATTTCTTGCATTAAGACGTAAAATTTAATTATAAATCTGCGTCACTGGAAGTTAAAGTTATGTATAACCTGAACCATAATTTACTGATGTATTAGCCTAAGACTGGTAGATATATACTAAGTTTTAGATGCATTGCACTGCGGACTAACATGACCATGTATAGGCAACAAAAATAAATCGTGCTATTTTCAAAACAAAATGTGAAAAATTTTACTTTGTCCATTGTCCGGGAAAAATTGATAAATGTCCGACCAATTTTTGGCTTGGCCAGACATTTGTCCTTCCAAGTAAAATAATTATTTGCAGTCCTGTATACCTTAACCCGTTGCGTTGAATTCCGCTCTGCGCTGTATACTTTTGTATAATAATTTCACATTCTATTGTAAATTTTTGCGCAATTCAACCCTCGGGGTGCAATTGGCAAATTTTTTCATTAAACGATCCTTATTATTTCAGCAACCTCGGAAACGAAGACGAGGCGGAGGGTTACGAAATCCAGTTTAGCGTGAAGGATTACTGTTTTGCTCGTACTGATCGACTCCTGGGAACGACTGTCCTGCAACTCTCGCAGGTTGTACCTATGGCTTCGTGCGCATGCTCTTGTCCCTTGGGAAAGTCGCTGACCGTGGATAACATCGGCAATACTATTCTGGGAATTTTATCTCAGCGATCGACGGAAGAGGTGGCCCAAGAATTTGTCCATCTGAAAAGGGCCGAGCGGAAAGAGCCTGATGATAAGTAAGTTTTAGATCGATAATGTACAGTAAATGATAAGTATATGAATAGTTTGATTCGCACCGAACAGAATGTTGCAGCATAGAGGTTTTTATTATGTTTTGTGTAAATTGAAATTGTTTATGCAACGATATTTCACACCAATTTTCTATTGATACATCGTAAAGATAATTGTATGGTTTCCAGTGCAATTTGGAAAAAACATGCACGAGTAAGTTTTTCAAAGACTATCAAAATTGTACGAGTCTGAAGGACGAGTGTCTTTGAAAAACTCACTCGAGTGTATGTTTTTTTTCAATTTTTTTTTCAAAAGAAACGGAATTTGAAAAAGAGCACTATTTTAACATTTTTTAAACAAAAAAGAGCATTGCTAGTATATAAAATGCCGCCTTTAGTATAATGACACAATCAGGAAGGGCCAAGCAACGGCAGACGTTCTACAATTATAGATGAGCTGGACTCGCTTAAATTTTTACATTAACCTATAATTATATAGACCAGGGCCGCCGAGAGGAGGGGGGGGGGCAAATTGCCCCGGGTCCCCACCATAATAGAGCCCCAACTTAAAAGAGAACCTAAAATTGAGTAGGTTCTTTAAATTAGTCAGAGCAATTTTGAAATCGAGGACCCCTTACAGTTCCACATGCAGTCTAGCTGAGGTCTAGTTGGGTGTTTGACATGGGTCTAGCTTAAAAATAATAGAGACCTTACGATTTGGTGACGGCAACGCGACGGCGACGGCCAAAACAAACTCCTTCAAGTAAATGGTAGTAAAGATAGTTCGTCGTATATTATCAATCGTATGAATTTAATACAGTTTTAGAAGTTGAAGACATGGGTTTTATGGTTGGGAAGAGTTCTGCTAAACCAGTTTGAAGTTGCACTTGTTGTGGCTTGGAAAACAAGGGCGTTGTATCAAGACGTGAAAATCTCTGATTTAGCGTTGTAAACAGAGCGAGGACAATGTGTAAATTATTCATATACTGTAATTACTCAATTCTTTTCAATGATCTATTGTATTGGTAGCCGTTGCCGTCCTAAAATCGTAAGGTCTCTAATAATGTCATGAGGCCCCCAGAGAAGATTTGCCCCGGGCACCCCTACAAATTCTCTCGGCGGCCCTGATATAGAGTAAATGTTATTTGCAATTCGTAATATTTATACTTTCTGTATACTTACATTATATATACGTAAAATACTGCGTCAGCGGTTAACTGACGTTAGTGTTTTTGCGCAAAGTAAATATAACAAATCCTACAAGTTGATTGGTCAAATTTGACGTATTAAGCTGTTATATTCACATGTGAATATAAAAAAAAACGAAATTTGCAAAATGGCGCCTAGCCGTTTTGTGCATTAAAGTTACTGAAATAAGCGAAATTAAAAGAAAATTCAGTCCCAAGAAAACACAAAAGACATGTGTAAAAACACTAAAACAATCATTCGCCTCAGGCTCGGGGAATTTCTCCGTTCCACTTCGTCTCGGTGAATATTCCCCGATAATTACTTTTCCTTCGGCGAATAATTGTTAATTATTATATGTCGCGTTTTGTAAATGACTATTAAATATTTTGTATGAAACAGGAAAGATCTGTTTCAGGAGTTTTACTATAGAAATAACAGTCTTGACACTGCCAAAAGTTTCCATAAAATCCCACATTAAAGGGTATGGGCAATGAAAATTGCTTCATCTATCTTATTGCTTCATCTGAAAGAGCATGAAAAAATAAGCCGATTGGCCGTTTACTGCTCTATTCTATCTCATCTGGTTCCGAAGTTATACGCAAAAATGTGCAAAATATAAATTGCTGATTCAGCACAATATGTGACGTCATAAGCGGGGTAAGTATGTTTATTGAATAGTAAACTAAAGCATATAGCTGAGTTAAGGCGAATAAGTTGCGGTAGTCTTCCAACCCCGAGCAGGTGGTTTAGTGGTAATGACAACAGGCTTGTGTCATGTACCAGCTAGGGTTCAAGTCCTTTTGTGTGGTATATTAATTACACAAGCTAGAGAAAAAAGGTTAAGGTGAAAAAGTTGCGGTAGTCTTCCAACAACGAGCAAGTGGTCTTGTGGTAAACACGACCGGCTTGTGTCATGTACCAGGTGTGTTTCAAGTCTAACAGTAGCCGTTTTGTGATTCAAAAATTGTTGAATTTTAATAATACAAGCTAGGCAAAAGAAATAAGATGAATAAGTTGGGCTAGTCTTGCAACAACAAACAAGTGGTCTAGTGGTATAGACAACCGGCTTGTGTCATGTACCAGGTTGTGGTTCAAGCCCTTACTGATGGCATTTTGTGAATCAAAAATGGTTGAGTTTTAATTATACAAGCTAGAGAAAACAATAAGGTGAATAAGTTGCGGTAGGCTTCCAACAACGAACAAGTGGTCTAGTGGCAAAGACAACAGGCTTTTGTCATGTTCCAGCTAGGGTTCAAGTCCTAATGAAGTCCTTTTGTGTCGTATATTAATTACACAAGCTAGAGAAAAAAGGTTAAGGTGAATAAGTTGCGGTCGGCTTCCAACAACGAGCAAGTGGTCTAGTGGTAAAGACAACAGGCATGTAGCATCTAAGGTTCAAGTCCTAAAGAACTAGAGAAAAAAGCTAGAGAAAAAAGGTTAAGGTGAATAACAGACGGAGAATAAGTTGCGGTAGGCTTCCAACAACGAGCAAGTGGTCTAGTGGTAACGATATGACCGAGCCTGGTAACAAGCCTGGTTACATGAAGTAATGATATTGCTTTATCCAGTGCTGTATACTGGTCAGTGGCTCAGACAACTTCGGATTGTCCCGATGTTCGCCCGAAGAGCATATTCTTATTTAATACTGTATTTTTGTTTTTTAAAATGTTTAGTGAGCAAAAATTGTTGTGTCACAGTCGTGGTTGGGTCAAACAATATGCGGAAAGCAAAAATAGCGAAGGAAAGAGATTAAAATTATATTGGATTTAGTTTTACTACCAAATATGGTAGTCCCTTCGTCCATGACCTTGTGACGTCAGGTACATACGGGACTTCGAGGGAGTTTTTGGCGGGAAAATTTGTAAGGTTTGGAGAAGACAAGATGGCGCTGGTTACTTCGTGTCATCAAAGGGCATTTTTGTTCACAAATAACCGCTTATTTTACGTTATAACGACTGGTTAGTTTTTGAAATTATAACTCAATGGAAAAAGACGTGCATCTATTGTTATTTGTTGTGAAAGACGGCCCGAAATTTCGCTACATCGCTGAGCGCCCTGAGTGGCTGAGCGGCCTGAGCCTGTATTGATTTATAAAAAAATTACAAGCAACAGCAATTGCAACTATATGACGAAAAAACCAAATACCAATGTGTACAAGCCAATCAAGTCCAACGTATTGTCATCTTTGGATGTGTGAAATAAGTTCAGTTGGATTTGCAGATGAAGCACTAAAGCACATGGAAGGTCAGTTTTAATTAGTTTTATATTAAGTATATTATTGTATACTATTATACAAGAATGATTTGAAAATTTTCCTTCAATGGTTGCTTTTTATTGGTTGAAAGTTTAATATTGTTTTGACGAGAGAAATGTTTCTCGACAATTTTCAGGATGTTTAGAAAATTTTTGGGCTTGGTTTGAAATTCAAACCAAGCCAGGTTTGAATTTTGAAATTCAAACCTCGATTCAAACCAAGCCCAAAAATCTACAAAAACCCGTTCTGCTCCCCTACTCTCTACTAATAAACATAAAAGGGCTGGGTGGGTGGGATACTGTTGAGCCACGCTGAGCAACAACAAAAATATGCTCAATAGTGATGGGTGATTACCGATGATTACTTGGTATCGATACCATCCGATACCAGGCCCAAATCGGAAGTAGTCGATACTGCACGGTATCGAAAAAGTGTTTCGATTACTTTTAAACTTAGACATTTATTATAATTCTGTGGTTGTGTCATTATTATAATTCTGTGGTTGTTTTCATGGCTATTTCTAATAAAATATATTAAGTACTTTTGTTGCATTTATCAACTTAACCAAACTTCCTTTACTTTATTTGACATTCTATCCACTTCCCTGATTAATATTCTTAACCTCGTCGACAGAATAAATAATGAAAAAGGCGGGAAATAAATTAATTTTTGTTTTTTCATGGATTATAATGGCGGAAAATTCTGAAAACAATCGTCGTCGTAGTAATCGTTTGGGTAATCGATACCTCGATACTTTTACGAAAAAGTAATCGGTATCGTATCGAATCCGATACTGGTGGTATCGCCCATCACTAATGCTCAAATAACCTGCACCACCCCATAACACCCTGATTTTATCAGGCCCCCAGCAGTGTGTGAGAAAACATTTTCTGCTTCTTTCGTGCCTCAGCCAGCGGAAAATAACACTTTTTTTTGTCAACACTATTATTTTTTCAACGTGATTGACCATGCGACCTTATTTTCTCCGTGTGGTTGTGGGCTGCTGCCAAAATGGCGTCTGTTGTCACACTAATTATTGAAAAAACCATGAAAAAATATTTAAAAAAAAAATTTCCAACCTACCGACCCAAATTTTTTGCGATATGAAACCGGAACCACGGGTATTTTATTTTATGCCTTTGGGTGCGAAATGATCGGATACCAATCTTCTAAACATTCTAACTCTGAATTTTTTGAAAATTTCCTGTGGTCCCCCTCCTGAGTGCTCAGCCTAGATCTTGATTTTTGCCTGTGGTCTCCCTTTGCATTTGATCCAAATTTTTCAAAACTGTTTTTTTTTATCAATTGAATGTGATTATTTTGATGAGAGAACATTCTTGTGCTGCCCCAGGGTGCATTTTAAGTGCAATACGCCAAAGATCTTTGAAACAATTATTCCCATTTGGGAAAGTGATTACCTGTGAATATTATACCTCAAATTCAAATTGCCCAATGAAAAAACATTTGCACCACATGACAATGTGATTTTTTACAGACTATTTCACTCAAATTCATGATTTTGCAATGCAGCGTGAGATATAGAGAATATTAATTAATACATGGTGCGCAGAAATACCAAATTTATTTCGAGTGTTGAAGATGATAACATATATACATATTGTTTATAGACCCTCCGCTCGGGGATTTGGAGAAATATTACCCTCGGTGACAGTGATGATATTTCCTCGGGAAATGGGTAATATTCCACCGAATTCGGGTAATATTCCGCCGAATCCCCCTCACTCCAGGTCTATAAATGTTCACCGAGACAAAGTCGAGTCACTGAGCCTGGGGTGAATAATTGTTTTAGTATAAATGTTTAATTAATGGATAAAACAATATATCCAAATATCAGTTCAATTAAAATTCAGAAATAAAACTTTTTTCGGCCTATAATTGTGACTAAAGCCAGTTTTCCATTTCAAGTGTACCAACACATCAAAAAGTTCTTGAATTTCTTGAATGTTGATTGGTTAGTACTTCCAAAGTATGCCAAAAAGTTGACTTGCAACAAACTTTTTATTTTGATATGCAAATCCACCCGGAAGTACATGGATTTATAAACCTCTTTTCAATCTGCACATGCTCACCAGTATGTTTCAGTATGATACGGGCAAAGTGGAAAACCAGCTTAATTATAGTGTTGCAGAATGTTGCAGTATTTCTTGTGTGCATATGCTTTCAAAATGGCTTTTTTGTTACTTTATTACAAAGTAATAAAGTTCTGTTTAGAATACAAACACAATAACGGAATAACATTTTCAACAGACTTAGAATTAAAACATAGTTTCTGTTTAGAAATGGCTGAGAAATTTGGTAAAATAAAATGTAAAACTATATTGTTTGAAATAAAGCTTTAATAACACTTTTAACTTTACAAGTTTTGAAAACACAATGCAGCAGTCAGAACAACATACAGCACAATGAAAACATGACATATCAAAAGAAATAGTGTCGTACAAATTGAGAAATCTGTAGGATCCAAAAAGTGGATTTAAAAGAATATCATGGCAAGGTTTTTCCCATTAGTCAGGATAGTTTTTGTTATTTGTTTTTGCTGAGTAAATGTTTCAAAGTTTTAAATAAGTTTTATATTGTCTGTGAATATGTTTGACACAGTAAAATAATAAAGGAATACTACCTTTCAAGATGAATACAACATTTTCAAGATAAATACAACATTTTGTGCTTCTTTCGTTTCCTGGGGACGATTTTTTCAATATTTTGAAAACAAATTTGCCGAATCATTATTTTTGAAAAGCATTTACTAGTCTGCTAGCCAATCAGAATGTGCGAAAGCTCATTCAGAATGTGCGAAAGCTCATTTCATATGCAAAATTTATACCATAGATGAACTAATGGCGTATAGTTTACATGGAATGCACCCTGGGTGCTGCCCCCTATGCCCCCTCAGCCTAGGGTTGCTGTGGTCCCTTTGCATTTTATTATACAAATTTTTAAAACATGTTTTTATCGACTGGAAGTAATTGTTTTGATGAGAGAAATGTTTCTTGACAATTTTCAGAAAGTTTGTAAGATTTTGGGGCACTTGTTGAATTTTGGGAAAATTTAAAACATTTTTATTGGTTGAAACTAATTGTTTTGATGAGAGAAATGTTTCTTGACAATTTTCAGAACATTTTGAAGATTTTGAGGCACTTTCCTGTGGCCCCCACTGTGCCGAGTCTAGGGTTGCCCGTAATAGGTTTCCTGTGGACCTGCTTTTTACAAATGCCAATGCGGCATAGGAATTATAAATTCTGAATAATATGTTGTATGCCAATAAGATTTAAATTTCCTAAGGGAATTATTAACATAGAAATTATACATTTGGGAAAATAATTTTGTTTGCTGCATTCAATCTATTGACCAATCAGGGAGATTCTTTTGTAAATACCCACAACCAATCAGACGTCTGTATTTTTATGCTAAAAGAGAAATAGCATTCGATTTACTCTGGATCCAGAGTAAATTGTATTCAAATATATATTTTTAAATTTAGGGCGTGTTGTAGCTCTATATTGTGTCGCCATTTTGTGATTCAAAAGTTGTTGAGTTTTAATTATACAAGCTAGAGAAAAAAATACGGTGAATAAGTTGCGCTAGTCTTCCAACAACGAGCAAGTGGTCTAGTCAATCAATCAATCAATCAATCAATCAACTTTATTTAACGAGGGTAAACACTGAACAGTATATCAACTGACTAACAAGTGGCCCTCTTATACTATAACTACATTACATACAATTAAAAATACTATATAACATGTAATCATGATAATACTATAAGTTCATAAGTTAAAAAGTCAAGATATTGTGAAAGAATCAATATCATTATACCTATGAAAAAAGTAGTTAAAAAGTTCATTCTTAAAAGTTTCTACAGATTTTTCGGAAGTTTTTATATGAGGAGGTATAGAGTTCCAAAGTTTACACGTGGAGACCTGGAAAGACTTTCCCCCTTCCATGACTCGGCTATAGCGTGGACATACCAAGTTTCTTTCACTGTAACGGCCTGACGAACGGGTTTGTATGTCTGCATTTGAGGTTAGAATATCATTAATATATGATGGGCAATTTCCATGAAACCGTTTGTAAGCTAAGACACATTTGTTCAACCTCACTTCGTCGTGAAAAGCAAGCCAATTTAGCTGCTTAAACAATGATACGCTGTTTGTTCTTGTACCGACATCCAAAATGATGCGGGCAGCACGTTTTTGCAATCGAAGAATTGTTTTCAAGTTTTCCACGGAGCAGTTAGCCCAAACTGTAGCACCATACATCATGACTTGCTTAAACATGGTGTTGTAGTACAGTTTACGTTGGTCTAAAGGAAGAAACCGTTTAATTTTCCGAAGAACGCCCAGTCGTTGTCCCAATTTCTTAGAAAGTTCTTCCACGTGTTTATCAAAAGTCAGTTCTTGATCGATAGTGACTCCTAAAAGTTTCTGGAAATGAACTTGTTCAATATCCTCGTTTTCAGACTGTAACGACAATATCTTTGTCGGCAACTTTTTGGCCAATCTCTTCCCGGTAACAAGCATAGATTTTGTCTTTTTGGCATTTATGATCATTTTGTTTGTTTTTGACCACCTTACAATGCCGTCCAAATCAAGCTGTAGTGCTGTTTCTATGGCTGTAGGTGCCAAATCCACTTCTGCGGAGTGACTAAGGGTAGTATCATCCGCATATATGTCGACCTCGGAGTGGAATACCTCTGACGGAAGATCGTTGATAAACAAAAGGAAGAAGATTGGACCCAAAATACTTCCTTGTGGCACACCGCATTTCACCTCTATTTTCGGAGAATGGGAACCATCAATATTTACATACTGCCAACGGTTTCTAAGATAGTCTTTTAAGAGGTTTAGCTCATCCCCCTGAATGCCATAATTATGTAACTTGTTAAGGAGCAGTTGATGGTCTATCAGATCGAAGGCTTTCTTATAGTCTACAAAAATTAGTCCAGTTACCTTGTTTTTATCCAGATCAAGTAGCAATTGGTCAATGAGTCTGATGAGTGCAGTTTCAGTCGAATGGTGTTTACGAAACCCGGATTGAAGTCGATAAAATAAGTTTCGTTGTTGCAGAAACCCATACATATGTTCACATATGTGCCTTTCCAGTAGCTTAGATAAAATGGGAAGCACTGATATAGGCCTGTAGTTAGACTTTTCATCTCGGTTTCCCTTCCCTTTATATATTGGGGTGACCTTAGCAACCTTCCATTTTGAGGGGAACGTTTGAGTGTTTATGCAACGATTCATCAGCTGGCTTAATGGTTCGGCTATAGCTGGTGCTGCTATTCTCATTATTTTGGCGCTAATGCCATCGTCGCCTGTGGATTTATGAACGGGGATGGATAGAAGTAACTCAATCACTCTTAATTTTGACATGGGGGGAATGCTGAATGTAGTATCGACATGGGGAATAGGATCTAGATTTGGTGTTTGTTCTATTTCTACGGGCGCTGAGGTGGACGCGAGGTTGTTTTGCTGGTCGACAAAGAAGCGATTAAATGTTTCAGCAATGGTCACTTTATCTTTTAAAGTCGTACTATTTTCGGTCAAAAATTTGACACTTTCATTTTTTCCAGCATCATCATTTGTTAGATTTTTAATCAAGTTCCAAAGTTTACTGGGGTTTTGTTTATTTTCTTGAAATTTATCACTAAAGTAATTTTTCTTCGCATTTCTTATTGTTTTTGTCACTTTGTTCTTTGCAATGCGGTAGTTTGCCCAATCTTCGTCAGTTTGATATTTCCTTGCTTTGTAATACAGTTTATCGCGTGCCTTTATGTCCTCCCCAATTATATTATTAAACCATTTAGGCTGTGTATTTCGCTTTACCCGCTTTTGTTTTAAGGGAAGATATTCATTTACGACATCATTAAATATTTCATACCATGCATAGACAGTGTCATTTGCGTCATCAAATACAAAAGCACTATCCCACGGTGCATTTTTAAGGGCGGTAATGAATTTGTCCTTGTTTAAATGCTTTACGTCGCGATAGTTTATTGTGGAATGCTTACCCTTTTTGTGACACGCACGTTTGTATATCCTGGTTGTCATAATAGGCAAATGATCTGATATTCCAATATTTAAAACTTTGACATTGTTTAGCCGTTCAGCATGGGTGCACCAGATGTGATCGAGACAGGTGCGTGATATGGGGCGTGTAATCACATTCATAAGCTGCGAAAGGTTGAATGACTTTAATACTTTCGTGAATGTATGATTTGCAAATTTCGTTGTGCATAAATAATCAATGTTTATGTCACCCAAAAGTACCACCTCGCGACCTAAAAGAGAGACATTTTCGATGTTTTTCCCGATACTCTTATCACTAGCAGCGTTTGATGAGGGTGGTCTGTAGATTCCCCCGATGAATAGAGGCCGTTTCGATTTGTAGGGACAGGTTTCGAGCCATATTATTTCCACATCTTTTGTTTCGAGATCAATTCGTCGCTCAGCTTGAACTGAGTTTTTAACATATACAACAGGCTTGTGTCATGTACCAACTAAGGTTCAAGTCCTAATGAAGTCATTTTGTGACTTGTGTCGTATATTAATTACACAAGCTAGAGAAAAAAGGTTAAGGTGAATAAGCTGCGGCCAGCATCCAACAACGAGCAAGTCGCCTAGTGGTAAAGTCAACAGCCTTCTGTCATGTACCAGCTAAGGTTAGAGTCCTAATCAAGTCTTTTCGTGACTTGTGTCGTATATTAGTTACACAAGCTACAGAAAAAAGCTTAAGATGAATAAGTTGGGCTAGTCTTGCAACAACGAGCAAGTGGTCTAGTGGTAATGACAACCGGCTTGTGTCATGTACCAGCTAGGGTTCAAGTCCTAATGAAGTGCTTTTGTGTCGTGTATTAATTACACAAGCTAGAGAAAAAAGGTTAAGGTGAATAAGTTGCGTTAGGCTTCCAAAAACGAGCAAGTGGTCTTGTGGTAAAGACGACCGGCTTGTGTCATGTACCAGCTAGGGTTCAAGTCTAACAGTAGCCATTTTGTGTTTCAAAAATTGTTGAATTTTAATAATACAAGCTAGAGATAAGAAATAAGATGAATAAGTTCGGCTAGTCTTGCAACAACGAACAAGTGGTCTAGTGGTGTATACAACCAGCTTGTGTCATGTACCAGGTTGTGGTTCAAGTCCTACTGATGGCATTTTGTGATTCAAAAATGGTTGAGTTTTAATTATACAAGCTAGAGAAAAGAATAAGGTGAATAAGTTGCGGTAGGCTTCCAACAACGAGCAAATGGTCTTGTGGTAAAGACAACAGGCTTGTGTCGTGTACCAGCTAGGGTTGAAGTCCTTTTGTGTCGTATATTAATTACACAAGCTAGAGAAAAAAGGTTAAGGTGAATAAGATGCGGTAGGCTTCCAACAACGAACGTGTGGTCTAGTGGTAACGACAACAGGCTTGTGTCATGTACCAGCTAGAGTTCAAGTCCTAATGAAGTCCTTTTGTGTCGTATATTAATTACACAAACTAGAGAAAAAAGGTTAAGATGAATAAGTTGCGGTAGGCTTCCAACAACGAGCAAGTGGTCTAGTGGTAACGACAACAGGCTTGTGTCATGTACCAGTTAGGGTTCAAATCCTAATGAAGTCCTTTTGTGTCGTATATTAATTACACAAGCTAGAGAAAAAAGGTTAATGGTGAATAAGATGCGGTAGGCTTCCAACAACGAACTTGTGGTCTAGTGGTAAAGTCAACAGGCTTTTGTCATGTTCCAGCTAGGGTTCAAGTCCTAATGAAGTCCTTTTGTGTCGTATATTAATTACACAAGCTAGAGAAAAAAGGTTAAGGTGAATAAGATGCGGTAGGCTTCCAGCAACGAACGTGTGGTCTAGTGGTAAAGACAACAGGCTTGTGTCATGTACCAGCTAAGGTTCAAGTCCTAATGAAGTCCTTTGGTGTCGTATATTAATTACACAAGCTGAAGAAAAAAGGTTAAGGTGAATAAGTTGCGGTCGGCTTCCAACAACGAGCAAGTGGTCTAAGTGGTGAAGACAACAGGCATGTAGCAGCTAAGGTTCAAGTCCTAAAGAAGTCATTTTGTGTCGTATATTAATTACACAAGCTAGAGAAAAAAGGTTAAGGTGAATAACATAGGGAGAATAAGTTGCGGTAGGCTTCCAACAACGAGCAAGTGGTCTAGTGGTAACGATATGACCGAGCCTGGTAACAAGCCTGGTTACATGAAGTAACGATATTGCTTTATCCAGTGCTGTATACTGGTCAGTGGCTCAGACAACTTCGGATTGTCCCGATGTTCGCCCGAAGAGCATATTCTTATTTAATACTGTATTTTTGTTTTTTAAAATGTTTAGTGAGCAAAAATTGTTGTGTCACAGTCGTGGTTGGGTCAAACAATATGCGGAAAGCAAAAATAGCGAAGGAAAGAGATTAAAATTATATTGGATTTAGTTTTACTACCAAATATGGTAGTCCCTTCGTCCATGACCTTGTGACGTCAGGTACATACGGGACTTCGAGGGAGTTTTTGGCGGGAAAATTTGTAAGGTTTGGAGAAGACCAACCTCGTCCCCAGGGTCTTCCTCGTGGTGGCGCGTGAGCTGAGGAAGACCCTGGTAAAATACGATGAAATCTCCAAGATTCTTGGAGATTTATCGCATGCGCAGTAACGACAACGTTACGTTGCTGACTACAATTAGCGCTGGCGCTTACGATTTTCTTGCTTGAAAATATACATGTTTTGTTGATTGTTTATGGATTTATTCTCAAAGTTTTAACAACTTTTACGAAAAATACTTCAGATATAAGCTGTGAACACACATGTACACAAAACTGTGCAACATTTATGATCATATTGTATCAATTTGTCGGAGTATAGCGCTCAAATTTGTGACATTGTTTTGTTCGCTTTGGCAACCCTCGTATATATCAGATGCTGTTCTGCCTCAAATACGACTGAATAAACACTGATAGTGTTGCCTGGAATATGAAATGATATTGAATGATTGTTGAAGTGTTCCGTACGTATATCAAGGTACGTCCTGTACATTTATACTGGATTTATTTTCACACGAGTTTCAAACTATTTCAGCTTTATGAACAATGAGATCACTAACATACAGAAAGACTCCATATTTTCTCATCAAATCTGATTATCGTTACAAGTAGAAATGCTTCAAAATTTATTCTGTATGTAAAGCAGGCCAGCATGTTTCATTTTCCTTTGGTGGTAGTCACCACTCACCAAGTCAAATAGGCCATTCCATTTAATAGCCCCCCCCCCCTATTGTCTATTGAGGTCTGGATATCCTATATGAGGATTTTATAGAGGGGGTTTTTACCTTAAATTTTTCTGGAGGGTAGCTTAAGAGATTTCCTAAAAATTAGGTGTTTTAGTGATATCCAAAGGGGCAGGAACAATATCCTAAAGGGGTAGAAAGACATCCATAGGGGTTCCAAAATTGCATCCAATGGGGTTCCAAAATTATTAAAAGGTATTATGAAGAGACCCCTCAATAGGGTGGGGGGGGGGGCTATATTAGATGGAATGGCCCAGTGTGCTGCAACAACTTTTAAAATTTGTATATATGTTTTTAAGGCACAATATGTGATGGAGTTTGATATGATGATCAGCACAACCTGAAGGTCTTGACTGAATGAACAACTTATCTGATATACTCCTACTTCCAATACTTTGCTGTATATTATCACCAGCTCAGATGTCAGTAGGATCACTTTGAATGAACATTGGAGTGGCACAATAAAGTGTCTGTATTAGGGAGGAGTCTAACTGAAGTAAAAGGCACACTTTTGGATATTAATCTGAATCATAGCAACTACATATACTGTAGGTTTCAAATTAGTTTGAAGAATGAACAACTGAAAATACATATTTATTTAATTGGAAACACTTAAAGGAATTACAACATATTATATGATAGTCATATGTACATGATTATAGGTATATTCATTAGTTTTACTAGCTGATATTTATGACTATCCTGGGACAACATTTTATTTTTCCCAAGAAATTTTACTTGCATGATAGTAATAAGTTTAATAGTAACAGAGAAGTGTGATGGATATGTGCAAGTAATTATCATTAGAAATACAAAGATTAAACTGTAATTTTGATCATTGTAAATATTATTAAAGAAACAAAATACAAAAGTCACACATGCAAGGCTATTTAACATAATACAGTCATAATACTAGACTGGTTAAAGAACTACTGAATAGAGGGATCATGAAAATCTTCTAAGATTAAACTACCATAGCTCTGTAACAGGAAAAGGTATAGTGAGTTAAGGTTTCTTCACCTTGATGAACAAAATTATATAGCATTAGAAAACTATAATGCCATCAACTAATTCCCATTTAAAAATTTTCATGTTGGTCACTGTGAAATATAATCTTGAGGCCATCTTAATGATTGTTTACTATCTGATTGATGACATGATTATATATATTTCCATGGACTGAATTCAAGTTGTTTTTTCCCCAAGTTCATGTAAAATATGGTTCACCTGTTAAAATAATAAAATGTTTATTAGTTGTTTTGTAACAGAACAGTACCGGCTTTAAAGAAAATATAGGAAAGAGAAAATTGAAATAACAGTTGTACACTGTATATGGAAAACAGAATAAAATCTTTCTAAGCATTTCTACTACGTACTGTTATATTAGATTAACTGATGACATATAATATGAAGTTTTTCTATATGTTAAAAACTGTGATTTCTGAAGAAGTCTTTCTGTATGTGTGAAATGAAGTCTTGCTGTATGTGTGAAACTGAGTTTATTAGAAAATGTGATTTCCGAGACTCTGAGAAAATGTGAAAGCAACGTGTGGAAAAAATCGAATAAATTCAGTATAAATGTACATTACATACCTTGATATACAGAACAATAAGTCAATATCATTTCATATTCCAGGCAACACTATCAGTGTTTATTCAGTTGCATTTGAGGCCGAACAGCATCTGATATATACGAGGGTTGCCAAAGCGAACAAAACAATGTCACAAATATGAGCGCCATACTCCGACAAATTGATACAATATGATGATGAATGTTGCACAGTTTTGTGTACATGTGTGTTCACAGCTTATATCTGAAGTATTTTTCGCAAAATTTGTTAAAACTTTGAGAATAAATACATAAACAATCAACAAAACATGTATATTTTTAAGCAAGAAAATCGTAAGCGCCACGGATTTAGTTTTACTACCAAATATGGTAGTCCCTTCGTCCATGACCTTGTGACGTCAGGTACATACGGGACTTCGAGGGAGTTTTTGGCGGGAAAATTTGTAAGGTTTGGAGAAGACAAGATGGCGCTGGTTACTTCGTGTCATCAAAGGGCATTTTTGTTCACAAATAACCGCTTATTTTACGTTATAACGACTGGTTAGTTTTTGAAATTATAACTCAATGGAAAAAGACGTGCATCTATTGTTATTTGTTGTGAAAGACGGCCCGAAATTTCGCTACATCGCTGAGCGCCCTGAGTGGCTGAGCGGCCTGAGCCTGTATTGATTTATAAAAAAATTACAAGCAACAGCAATTGCAACTATATGACGAAAAAACCAAATACCAATGTGTACAAGCCAATCAAGTCCAACGTATTGTCATCTTTGGATGTGTGAAATAAGTTCAGTTGCATTTGCAGATGAAGCACTAAAGCACATGGAAGGTCAGTTTTAATTAGTTTTATATTAAGTATATTATTGTATACATTATACAAGAATGATTTGAAAATTTTCCTTCAATGGTTGCTTTTTATTGGTTGAAAGTTTAATATTGTTTTGACGAGAGAAATGTTTCTCAACAATTTTCAGGATGTTTAGAAAATTTTTGGGCTTGGTTTGAAATTCAAACCAAGCCAGGTTTGAATTTTGAAATTCAAACCTCGATTCAAACCAAGCCCAAAAATCTACAAAAACCCGTTCTGCTCCCCTACTCTCTACTAATAAACATAAAAGGGCTGGGTGGGTGGGATACTGTTGAGCCACGCTGAGCAACAACAAAAATATGCTCAATAGTGATGGGTGATTACCGATGATTACTTGGTATCGATACCATCCGATACCAGGCCCAAATCGGAAGTAGTCGATACTGCACGGTATCGAAAAAGTGTTTCGATTACTTTTAAACTTAGACATTTATTATAATTCTGTGGTTGTGTCATTATTATAATTCTGTGGTTGTTTTCATGGCTATTTCTAATAAAATATATTAAGTACTTTTGTTGCATTTATCAACTTAACCAAACTTCCTTTATTTTATTTGACATTCTATCCACTTCCCTGATTAATATTCTTAACCTCGTCGACAGAATAAATAATGAAAAAGGCGGGAAATAAATTAATTTTTGTTTTTTCATGGATTATAATGGCGGAAAATTCTGAAAACAATCGTCGTCGTAGTAATCGTTTGGGTAATCGATACCTCGATACTTTTACGAAAAAGTAATCGGTATCGTATCGAATCTGATACTGGTGGTATCGCCCATCACTAATGCTCAAATAACCTGCACCATCCCATAACACCCTGATTTCATCAGGCCCCCAGCAGTGTGTGAGAAAACATTTTCCGCTTCTTTCGTGCCTCAGCCAGCGGAAAATAACACTTTTTTCTGTCAACACTATTATTTTTTCAACGTGATTGACCATGCGACCTTATTTTCTCTGTGTGATTGTGGGCTGCTGCCAAAATGGCGTCTGTTGTCACACTAATTATTGAAAAAACCATGAAAAAATATTTTAAAAAAAAATTTCCGTCCTACCGACCCAAATTTTTTGCGATATGAAACCGGAACCACAGGTATTTTATTTTATGCCTTTGGGTGCGAAATGATTGAATACCAATCTTCTAAACATTCTAACTCTGAATTTTTTGAAAATTTCCTGTGGTCCCCCTCCTCAGTGCTCAGCCTAGATCTTGATTTTTGCCTGTGGTCTCCCTTTGCATTTGATCCAAATTTTTCAAAACTGTTTTTTTATCAATTGAATGTGATTATTTTGATGAGAGAACATTCTTGTGCTGCCCCAGGGTGCATTTTAAGTGCAATACGCCAAAGATCTTTGAAACAATTATTCCCATTTGGGAAAGTGATTACTTGTGAATATTATACCTCAAATTCAAATTGCCCAATGAAAAAACATTTGCACCACATGACAATGTGATTTTTTACAGTATTTCACTCAAATTCATGATTTTGCAATGCAGCGTGAGATATAGAGAATATTAATTACATGGTGCGCAGAAATACCAGATTTATTTCGAGTGTTGAAGATGATAACATATATACATATTGTTTATAGACCCTCCGCTCGGGGATTTGGAGAAATATTACCCTCGGTGACAGTGATGATATTTCCTCGGGAAATGGGTGGTAATATTCCACCGAATTCGGGTAATATTCCGCCGAATCCCCCTCACTCCAGGTCTATAAATGTTCACCGAGACAAAGTCGAGTCACTGAGCCTGGGGTGAATAATTGTTTTAGTATAAATGTTTAATTAATGGATAAAACAATATATCCAAATATCAGTCAATTAAAATTCAGAAATAAAACTTTTTTCGGCCTATAATTGTGACTAAAGCCAGTTTTCCATTTCAAGTGTACCAACACATCAAAAAGTTCTTGAATTTCTTGAATGTTGATTGGTTAGTACTTCCAAAGTATGCCAAAAAGTTGACTTGCAACAAACTTTTTATTTTGATATGCAAATCCACCCGGAAGTACATGGATTTATAAACCTCTTTTCAATCTGCACATGCTCACCAGTATGTTTCAGTATGATACGGGCAAAGTGGAAAACCAGCTTAATTATAGTGTTGCAGAATGTTGCAGTATTTCTTGTGTGCATATGCTTTCAAAATGGCTTTTTTGTTACTTTATTACAAAGTAATAAAGTTCTGTTTAGAATACAAACACAATAACGGAATAACATTTTCAACAGACTTAGAATTAAAACATAGTTTCTGTTTAGAAATGGCTGAGAAATTTGGTAAAATAAAATGTAAAACTATATTGTTTGAAATAAAGCTAACACTTTTAACTTTACAAGTTTTGAAAACACAATGCAGCAGTCAGGACAACATACAGCACAATGAAAACATGACATATCAAAAGAAATAGTGTCGTACAAATTGAGAAATCTGTAGGATCCAAAAAGTGGATTTAAAAGAATATCATGGCAAGGGTTTTCCCATTAGTCAGGATAGTTTTTGTTATTTGTTTTTGCTGAGTAAATGTTTCAAAGTTTTAAATAAGTTTTATATTGTCTGTGAATATGTTTGAACAGTAAAATAATAAAGGAATACTACCTTTCAAGATGAATACAACATTTTCAAGATAAATACAACATTTTCAAGATAAATACAACATTTTGTGCTTCTTTCGTTTCCTGGGGACGATTTTTTCAATATTTTGAAAACAAATTTGCCGAATCATTATTTTTGAAAAGCATTTACTAGTCTGCTAGCCAATCAGAATGTGCGAAAGCTCATTCAGAATGTGCGAAAGCTCATTTCATATGCAAAATTTATACCATAGATGAACTAATGGCGTATAGTTTACATGGAATGCACCCTGGGTGCTGCCCCCTATGCCCCCTCAGCCTAGGGTTGCTGTGGTCCCTTTGCATTTTATTATACAAATTTTTAAAACATGTTTTTATCGACTGGAAGTAATTGTTTTGATGAGAGAAATGTTTCTTGACAATTTTCAGAAAGTTTGTAAGATTTTGGGGCACTTGTTGAATTTTGGGAAAATTTAAAACATTTTTATTGGTTGAAACTAATTGTTTTGATGATGAGAGAAATGTTTCTTGACTATTTTCAGAACATTTTGAGGCACTTTCCTGTGGCCCCCACTGTGCCGAGTCTTGGGTTGCCCGTAATAGGTTTCCTGTGGACCTTTGCTTTTTACAAATGCCAATGCGGCATAGGAATTATAAATTCTGAATAATATGTTGTATGCCAATAAGATTTAAATTTCCTAAGGGAATTATTAACATAGAAATTATACATTTGGGAAAATAATTTTGTTTGCTGCATTCAATCTATTGACCAATCAGGGAGATTCTTTTGTAAATACCCACAACCAATCAGACGTCTGTATTTTTATGCTAAAAGAGAAATAGCATTCAATTTACACTGGATCCAGAGTAAATTGTATTCAAATATATATTTTTAAATTTAGGGCGTGTTGTAGCTCTATATTTTGCCGTCCTGGTGTAGTTTACTTGAAATCCTCGCCTGTTTGTGAAAAGAAGTACATTAAAGATCAAGCATAACATCCAAAGCTAAAGACATTAAGGTATGTTCTGTTTCTATCAATTTGATGTGAAATGTTGATATTTTAGCAAGTTAGTCAAATTTGACTGTAGCAAGTCAGTCGCTTAAGGCCATGTTACACTGTGCAATTTTTCTTGCAACTTGCAATGCAATTCTACTCTTGAGAGATGTAAAATTACCAAATACGAGTTTTCATTACTGATGTTTTCTCAACATATCGAAAATTCTTCACAGATTTCGGTAATTAACATCTCTCAAGAGTAGAATTGCATTGCAAGTTGCAAGAAAAATTGCACCGTGTAACCCGTGGCGTAACATGGCCTTTAGCATTACATTTTTTTGTTCTGGGACGTTATGTTACATTTATTTAATTAAATTAAACATTGCAAATTTTTTTGGGACACCCGGGATTAGGGTTGGGTAATATTTTGATTTATCGCGATATTTTCATTCGCGATTATCATGTCGAAGGTAGAAAATTGAGCGACAATATATCGAAATTATCGTCATGCTCGATGACGATTATATTGCTTCGCATGTGTATATAGGTTTTATAAAATCCTAAAAAATTCTTTCAATTCCTAGAAAATATAGTTTTTAAAAGAATTAAAATTATTTCCTGAATGTAATACGAATTTAAGGTGGCTCCCTAGGGTTTTTTAATTTACTACACTATAGTATTCAGGAGACTCCTGTTTCTTTACTTTACATGATATGAAGACGAAATTTATTGGACACATTGACAATGTTCTCCTGAACATTGCAAATTGCTACTTCTCACACACTGCTGAGAGCTGCTGCAGTGTCAGCCGCAAGCTTGACATTTATTAATTTAAACTACCATACATTACAATTGCTCGCTTAATAATTACTCTAACAGGTACATATATATCCAATCCAATGCTGTTCTGTACTAATAAACATAAAAGGGCTGGGTGGGTGGGATACTGTCAAGCCATGCTGAGCAACAACAAAAATATGCTCATATAACCTGCACCACCTTGTAACACCCTGATTTCATCAGGCCCCCAGCAGTGTGTGAGAAAACATTTTCCGCTTCATTCGTGCCTCAGCCAGCGGAAAATAACACTTTTGTGTTTAAAAATATGTTGTCATAGCAACAGCATGCTTAGAATAAAGTTCAAAATATGTCTTTTTCAGGTCATTTTAAAATTTCCTTTGGTGAAATTTTTTAAAACTTTGCATAAAAGATAATACTTGTATAATGATTTTTTCCCCTCAATTTAAAAAAAAATAAATCGATACTTTTCTTAGAAAACTTCAATTTCCCTTCGATTTAATTTTAAGATTTAATTATTTAAGTCATCCTTATTGTCATAAGTGCTGCTAGATTGTGGAGAAAACACTGCAAATTCTTGAGGAAACTTTATATCATATCCCAATGTTTGCGATCGAACCTCGCATACGGCGAGAATACCGTTCAAAAAACATCCAGAATACCGCTTGAAAAAAAAAACAAGTTTACATTATCTTCTTTTGAAACATCACATCCAAGTATCGTTTTGGCTTTTAGAACTCTTTTATGCTTTGAACTAAAGCAAAGTTCACACTTTTGTTTCAAAAAAGAGTTGCATATAAAACACAACGTTACAGTTCGTATTTTAGTTTCCACATCCAAAGATAAATTTCCCTAATATTGCCTCAAATTTTAATTTTTTCACAAACTTTTTCCTCTAAGTGGAAACACTTACAAGCATGATCCAATAAAAAAGTTTAGGGTCGGGATTTCGAAGTCCAAAAGCTAGGTAGGGTCGGGAAACCGGAAACCCACATATTTTTTTTTGGCCTAGGGAGCCATCTTAATACGATTCGAAAGCTAATATTTATGTATCAATCTGCTGAACGAGAAATATTATAATTGTAGAGTTTCTCCTCAGTCTGGTCCCCCTGTACAATAAATTATGAGCAGTCCCTTAGTGATGAATTAAGTCATTTCAACAGCAATGACATATTGAAATTTTCTTAGCCCAATCATCGCTTTACAAAGGATGACTGTATCCCGAGTAGGGTTGGGCGATATTAAAAAAATCATCTCACGATTATTGTCAAGGAAATTATCACGATATTCGATAATATCGCGATAAATGCAATAAAAACAATGGCCACATTTTTCAATTTTAATTATATCAAAGCATAGTAAGCTTATATATAATCTTATTAAAAACAAGTAAAACAACAAATCAAAGTAATATGAAGGCTTTTTCTAGTCCTAATATTTACTGCTCATAAACCAGAATTGAGAATTGTCTATACTGTGTCTCCCCTGGCACAAATGCTGTGTATTTCATTGCAATTTAATGAAATTGCAATGAAATACACAGCATTTGTGCAGCATTTATGAGCCGATTAATCGGTAAATAATCGGCAAAGCCGATTAATCGGCCGTTTTTTAAATAACCGGTAATCGGCCGATTATTGCTTGATAATCGGCCATAAGACTTCTTCTGCAGCTGCCGAGCACATGCTAGAATACTGAATACAAGCGAATAGATTTTCACATTTTGTTGCAAAACCCGTGTCTTTTGTCTCAACCGAAGTGAAGCTGGGAACATTTCCACTGAAAAACGCAGCAGACTAACTCCACATAGCTGACAATATTGTTTTCACACCATAATCTGCCAAAACTAAACATTGACTATTGACATGCAAGATTGAAGCTGTTTTTAGTTGTATATAGTGTGTACTGTAAACAGTAAAACCGCATTTACAACTTCATTGTTGGTCATTTTGTGATTTTTCACTTGCTTTTTAAAATAATCGGCGGGTACCGATTAATCGGCCGATTAGTTACGATGATCGGCTTATAAATAATCGGCCTCAGTAATCGGCAATTTTCCTTATCGGCTCATCCCTAATTTGTGCCAGCGGCGACACATTCAGAAATATCCTCTGTTCCCCCCTTTTGATTTGACCAAAATATTCCAATTCAATTGTTTTTATCATTTGAAAGTAATTGTTTTGATGAAAAGAACAATTGACAATTTTCAGAAGGTTTGCATTATTTTTCTACTTATAGACTCATAATTGTGCGACAGAACTTCTAGTTATAGACTAAATAATCTTTACCATGAGATTGTTGGACAACATAGTTTGAGTTCTTTTAACCATCCTTGAACTTTTGTTCAAGCCTAGTGACTTATCTCAGTACATGAAAATCATCCCACCTTTCATCCTGTCCTGACAAACAAACTGGGATCATGTAGACAGCACATTTAGCCATTAACCCATTAAGCGCCAGCGCTCTCCCCTTGATGAGTAAAATCGTCTGGCGTTAGACAGAGTAAAATACTAAAGTAGGGTGCATCAGGGTGCAATGCGACTCAATGCAATGGGTTAAGTTGATTTGCACCCTAATTTACCTACTTATATTATTTAACTCTGTCTAATGTCAGACAATTTTATTAAGCAGGGGGAGTACTAGCAGTTAATGGGTATAAACTAGGCATATGGGCATTCTCATTATGAAGCATAAAATCGTCTGGCGTTGGACAGTAAAATACTCAAGTAGAGCATGCATCAGGGCACTGTATACAACCTAATGGTTTAATTTTTTGTCAAGTTCTATATCTGAATTAATTGATTTTTTGCCTTGTTTTACAGATCATTACTGATGAATTGTGACTATACTAAATGGATACAAAGAGACTATGATGGATAAATATGGCCCCGTAATGGGATATTCAGTTGATGGACATACAAAGGTCACAGAAATGTCTACTTTCAGGTACTGTTCTTTCTTGTTTGCCTGCGAACAGGCTGTAGATACTTGTACCCAGGCCATTGTTTGTTTTGTTGTTCTGGGCACAATGAAATCCGGCATAAATCCTGGCGGTCTAAATGTTCAGTATATTTACACATTCAATCTATTTTCTGTTCAGTAGACTTTGATAGCTTGAATGAAAGTTTACGATGATTTTCTTTGCAAAAACTGTACTTTCGAAATTCATCGGCTTCTGAATTTGAAAACGGATCTGAAAAGAGAGAACATTTGAGTGTATGGTTATTGAGTGCATTTGTCATTACAAATGCAGCAACCCAACAGTTTAGACAGGGTCATGAGGCAGGATGTGTACAAGAAAAGCTTTGCCAGAGTTTTGAACGACGACTGGAAATTGCTGTTTGATTCTTTGTAATATCTTATTGCTCGTTAGTAAAAAAGAAATTTGTCACTTTCCTCATGTAAACCTTTTTCAAAAAACTGGCATCGTTTGTCTTGGGGTTATGGGGGTACAAATGGTACCCATAGCTTAGAGGGTGCAAATGGTACCCGTAAGAAGACTTGGTGGAAATCATGTTGGTCGTTTGGATCGGCGAGAATAAGGCAATTATGGTGGCAAAGTTTTTTTAAACATTTTCTCTCCCGTAGTAAGGTAAAGCATGTATTTTCCTGGTAGCCGGTCATACTTCATGAAAAAATAGTCCGCTACCAGTGACTAGGTCCCCTCTCTTATGGCGGTTATTCCGGCTCAATACCTTCGGGGATATTCCTTTTCAGGGCGGTTGCATGCGGATAATATGGTCCGTCGCGTGCGCAAAATAGTTAGGGAGTTAGACAGTTTAGAAGCGTCCAAACTGCGCAATATACGACACTCGCATGAAACGTAAAATACTTTATAATAATTCACAAAATTGCGAAAACAAAAAATTGACAATTTTGCAATTTGAATTGTGCGTTTCTGGCAAATGCCTTTAGATTCAAGTTGTAACTACAATTTACAAGCGCATTAAGTGTAAATACGGCATTATTTCTAATGAAAAGACCGCCAGGGTTAAGAGTGTTTTTGTGTGGTTAAGGAGCAAACTCGCTTTTTAAAAAAAGAAATGCGTATTAATTTCGATCCAGATTTGTTCCTGAACATGGTCGCCATGAAAACTCTCTGTAGAGCAAGCTCAGCGACGTACGGTCATAATAGCGTCGTCGGAAGTTTGCATTCAGCATTTTCGTTCAAAATTGAACGTACGTTATGCTATGCTAGGATTGCGTACAATCGGTACCCACACGATGTGTAGCAATTCTAAAGGAACAACTAATACGTATAAATAGGGTGTGCGCACGAAGTTTTTTTCGCAGGCCTTTAATAACTTCGGGGAAAATAATTAAAAAAGCAGTGTCCGTGGTCGGGGCTGAATAGTACTGTGGAAGATTGGGTTGGAAAATTTGCAATTAAGATCTGTATTTTTGGGCAATTGTTACTTTTTGAAAAATAGTATCCTACTGATGTAAAATAACATCGGAAGGGTTTGGCAACAGTGATGTCCAAAGAGTATGTTAGCCCTAAAGTTTATTTCATAAAATGATTTATCTTTGTATATACTCAATTACAAGACAATTTAAAGTTCGAGTAAAAGTTTAATAACAATTGATATAAATTGAAACTCATTCTGGCTCAAATTTTATTTCATAAAATGATTTTTCTCAGCATAGTCGATTACATGACAATTCAAAAAGAATATTTAAAGTCAAAATATTAATCATAATTCAAAATGACCTTTGGGTCACATTTTATGCCTACTCATATGGTTGTGTCCACAGAAGCCTGAGGTATTATATTAGATACGAAATACAACGTTTTTTAACAACTTATCAAAAATCAGTTAAATATACTCGCCTTTTAACCAAAAGCGAAAAGATTATTTTTGCCACAATTTTACGGTAAACCCAAACGTGGCGACGGAATTTCCCAGCATTTATAAATTGCCGTGCTGAAATTGAACTAAATCGAGAAATTTAACCAAAGTATGATTTTGCCACTCACCGGGTTTGAGTATCTTTTGTGACAATATGGATACTACCATGAAGATTAGATGTTTGATTAGTACTAAGTAAGTGTTTTCGTCAAAAACACTACTAAAATCATGGCTTTGACAGGGTTGACTAAGTTAGCCTAAAAACCCAATAATTTCCCATTCCATGTTTGTAATATCCATTCAATATGATAGATACGGCAGGCCTTCTACTCTTTCTTCTACTCGATAAATTGGAACAGAATGGCTGAAATTGAGTATACTAAAAGACTTTAATGAAACAAAATTTGGGGTTAATGCATATGTCGTTTTTCGTCGTGCGTAACGTCAGTTGTGTGTAACTTTTATGAAAAAAAAATCAAAGTCTTGAGATTTTGTTTTTCAACAAGTAATAATGGTCTAGAAATACAGATTTATATTGCACATGTTAGTTTCTTCAGTAAGGTCTCTAAACATTGGCACAACTGCTTGTTCCCCATGCATAAATTTTTAACTAGTTTTTGGGATTGGATTTATTCAAATTTGAGGTGATTTTGAACACATATTGGTATGTTACTCATTATGATATGAGTAAAATATTGTTCGTTTATACATTGTTCTAGTTTCTATAGCTTTTTATTTGTCTTATCAGTTGAAATATATGTTGTGATTGTTTACGAAATATATTGAATTATTTGTGAATTGTTCGTTCATTTT